AAGGTGGGAGAAATGGAAAAGGAGAAAAGGATTCACGGGAAGGAAGGAAAGAAGGAAGGAAGGAAAAGAAGGAGTAAAATACAAAGTGGGAGGATGGGTGGGGAGATAAAAGACGGAAGGGATGAAGGAAAAGCAGGAAGGAAGGTGGAAGAAATGGAAAAGGAGAAAAGGATTCACGGGAAGGAAGGAAAGAAGGAAGGAAGGAAAAGAAGTGAGTAAAATACAAAGTGGGAGGATGGGTGGGAGATAAAAGACGGAAGGATGAAGGAAAAAGCAGGAAGGAAGGTGGGAGAAATGGAAAAGGAGAAAAGGATTCACGGAAGGAAGGAAGGAAAAGAAGGAGTAAAATACAAAGTGGGAGGATGGGTGGGAGATAAAAGACGGAAGAGATGAAGGAAAAAAGCAGGAAGGAAGGTGGGAGAAATGGAAAAGGAGAAAAGGATTCACGGAAGGAAGGAAAGGGAGGAGGAAGGAAAAAAGTGAGTAAGATACAAAGTGGGAGGATGGGTGGGAGATAAAAGACGGAAGAGATGAAGGAAAAAAGCAGGAAGGAAGGTGGGAGAAATGGAAAAGGAGAAAAGGATTCACGGGAAGGAAGGAAAGAAGGAAGGAAGGAAAAGAAGTGAGTAAAATACAAAGTGGGAGGATGGGTGGGAGATAAAAGACAGAAGGATGAAGGAAAAGCAGGAAGGAAGGTGGAGAAATGGAAAAGGAGAAAAGGATTCACGGAAGGAAGGAAAGAAGGAAGGAAGGAAAAGAAGTGAGTAAAATACAAAGTGGGAGGATGGGTGGGAGATAAAAGACGGAAGGGATGAAGGAAAAAGCAGGAAGGAAGGTGGGAGAAATGGAAAAGGAGAAAAGGATTCACGGGAAGGAAGGAAAGAAGGAAGGAAGGAAAAGAAGTGAGTAAAATACAAAGTGGGAGGATGGGTGGGAGATAAAAGACGGAAGGGATGAAGGAAAAAGCAGGAAGGAAGGTGGGAGAAATGGAAAAGGAGAAAAGGATTCACGGGAAGGAAGAAAGGAAAAGAAGTGAGTAAAATACAAAGTGGGAGGATGGGTGGGAGATAAAAGACGGAAGAGATGAAGGAAAAAGCAGGAAGGAAGGTGGGAGAAATGGAAAAGGAGAAAAGGATTCACGGGAAGGAAGGAAAGAAGGGAGGAAGGAAAAGAAGTGAGTAAGATACAAAGTGGGAGGATGGGTGGGAGATAAAAGACGGAAGGGATGAAGGAAAAAGCAGGAAGGAAGGTGGGAGAAATGGAAAAGGAGAAAAGGATTCACGGGAAGGAAGGAAGGAAAAGAAGTGAGTAAAATACAAAGTGGGAGGATGGGTGGGAGATAAAAGACGGAAGAGATGAAGGAAAAAGCAGGAAGGAAGGTGGGAGAAATGGAAAAGGAGAAAAGGATTCACGGAAGGAAGGAAAGAAGGAGGAAGGAAAAGAAGTGAGTAAGATACAAAGTGGGAGGATGGGTGGGAGATAAAAGACGGAAGGATGAAGGAAAAAAGCAGGAAGGAAGGTGGGAGAAATGGAAAAGGAGAAAAGGATTCACGGGAAGGAAGGAAGGAAAAGAAGGAGTAAAATACAAAGTGGGAGGATGGGTGGGAGATAAAAGACGGAAGAGATGAAGGAAAAAAAGCAGGAAGGAAGGTGGGAGAAATGGAAAAGGAGAAAAGGATTCACGGGAAGGAAGGAAAGAAGGAAGGAAGGAAAAGAAGTGAGTAAAATACAAAGTGGGAGATAAAAGACGGAAGGGATGAAGGAAAAAGCAGGAAGGAAGGTGGGAGAAATGGAAAAGGAGAAAAGGATTCACGGGAAGGAAGGAAGGAAAAGAAGTGAGTAAAATACAAAGTAAGAGGATGGGTGGGAGATAAAAGACGGAAGAGATGAAGGAAAAAGCAGGAAGGAAGGTGGGAGAAATGGAAAAGGAGAAAAGGATTCACGGGAAGGAAGGAAAGAAGGAAGGAAGGAAAAGAAGTGAGTAAAATACAAAGTGGGAGGATGGGTGGGAGATAAAAGACGGAAGGGATGAAGGAAAAAGCAGGAAGGAAGGTGGGAGAAATGGAAAAGGAGAAAAGGATTCACGGGAAGGAAGGAAAAGAAGGAAGGAAGGAAAAGAAGTGAGTAAAATACAAAGTGGAAGGATGGGTGGGAGATAAAAGACGGAAGAGATGAAGGAAAAAAGCAGGAAGAAAGGTGGGAGAAATGGAAAGGAGAAAAGGATTCACGGAAGGAAGGAAAGAAGGAAGGAAGGAAAAGAAGTGAGTAAAATACAAAGTGGGAGGAAGGGTGGGAGATAAAAAGACGGAAGGGATGAGGAAAAAAAGCAGGAAGGAAGGTGGGAGAAATGGAAAAGGAGAAAAGGATTCACGGGAAGGAAGGAAAGAAGGAAGGAAGGAAAAGAAGTGAGTAAAATACAAAGTGGAGGATGGGTGGGAGATAAAAGACGGAAGGGATGAAGGAAAAAGCAGGAAGGAAGGTGGGAGAAATGGAAAAGGAGAAAAGGATTCACGGGAAGGAAGGAAGGAAAAGAAGTGAGTAAAAATACAAAAGTGGGAGGATGGGTGGGAGATAAAAGACGGAAGAGATGAAGGAAAAAGCAGGAAGGAAGGTGGGAGAAATGGAAAAGGAGAAAAGGATTCACGGGAAGGAAGGAAAGAAGGAAGGAAGGAAAAGAAGTGAGTAAAATACAAAGTGGAGGGATGGGTGGGAGATAAAAGACGGAAGAGATGAAGGAAAAGCAGGAAGGAAGGTGGAGAAATGGAAAAGGAGAAAAGGATTCACGGGAAGGAAGGAAAGAAGGAAGGAAGGAAAAGAAGGAGTAAAATACAAAGTGGGAGGATGGGTGGGAGATAGAAGACGGAAGGATGAAGGAAAAGCAGGAAGGAAGGTGGGAGAAATGGAAAAGGAGAAAAGGATTCACGGGAAGGAAGGAAAGAAGGAAGGAAGGAAAGAAGGAAGGAAGGAAAAGAAGTGAGTAAAATACAAAGTGGGAGGATGGGTGGGAGATAAAAGACGGAAGAGATGAAGGAAAAAGCAGGAAGGAAGGTGGGAGAAATGGAAAAGGAGAAAAGGATTCACGGGAAGGAAGGAAAGAAGGAAGGAAGGAAAAGAAGTGAGTAAAATACAAAGTGGAGGATGGGTGGGAGATAAAAAGACGGAAGGGATGAAGGAAAAAAGCAGGAAGGAAGGTGGGAGAAATGGAAAAGGAGAAAAGGATTCACGGGAAGGAAGGAAAGAAGGAGGAAGGAAAAGAAGTGAGTAAGATACAAAGTGGGAGGATGGGGAGATAAAAAGACGGAAGAGATGAAAGAAAAAGCAGGAAGGAAGGTGGGAGAAATGGAAAAGGAGAAAAGGATTCACGGGAAGGAAGGAAAGAAGGAAGGAAGGAAAAAGAAGTGAGTAAAATACAAAGTGGGAGGATGGGTGGGAGATAAAAATTTCACGGAAGGGATGAAGGAAAAAAAGCAGGAAGGAAGGTGGGAGAAATGGAAAAGGAGAAAAGGATTCACGGAAGGAAGGAAAGAAGGAAGGAAGGAAAAGAAGTGAGTAAAATACAAAGTGGGAGGATGGGTGGAGAAAAAAAGACGGAAGGGATGAAGGAAAAAGCAGGAAGGAAGGTGGGAGAAATGGAAAAGGAGAAAAGGATTCACGGGAAGGAAGGAAAGAAGGAAGGAAGGAAAAGAAGGAGTAAAATACAAAGTGGGAGGATGGGTGGGAGATAAAAGACGGAAGGGATGAAGGAAAAAGCAGGAAGGAAGGTGGGAGAAATGGAAAAGGAGAAAAGGATTCACGGGAAGGAAGGAAGGAAAAGAAGGAGAAAATACAAAGTGGGAGGATGGGTGGGAGATAAAAGACGGAAGAGATGAAGGAAAAAGCAGGAAGGAAGGTGGGAGAAATGGAAAAGGAGAAAGGATTCACGGGAAAGGAAGGAAAGAAGGGAGGAAGGAAAAGAAGTGAGTAAAGATACAAAAGTGGGAGGATGGGTGGGAGATAAAAGACGGAAGGGATGAAGGAAAAAGCAGGAAGGAAGGTGGGAGAAATGGAAAAGGAGAAAAGGATTCACGGGAAGGAAGGAAGGAAAAAGAAGTGAGTAAAATACAAAGTGGGAGGATGGGTGGGAGATAAAAAGACGGAAGGGATGGAGGAAAAAAAAAGGAAGGAAGGTGGGAGAAATGGAAAAAGGAGAAAAGGATTCACGGGAAGGAAGGAAAAGAAGGAAGGAAAGAAGTGAGGAAAATACAAAGTGGGAGGATGGGTGGGAGATAAAAGACGGAAGGGATGAAGGAAAAAGCAGGAAGGAAGGTGGGAGAAATGGAAAAGGAGAAAAAGGATTCACGGGAAGGAAGGAAGGAAAAGAAGGAGTAAAATACAAAGTGGGAGGATGGGAGATAAAAAGACGGAAGAGATGAAGGAAAAAAGCAGGAAGGAAGGTGGGAGAAATGAAAAGGAGAAAAGGATTCACGGGAAGGAAGGAAAAAAGAAGGAAGGAAGGAAAAGAAGGAGTAAAATACAAAGTGGGAGGATGGGTGGGAGATAAAAGACGGAAGGGATGAAGGAAAAAGCAGGAAGGAAGGTGGGAGAAATGGAAAAGGAGAAAAGGATTCACGGGAAGGAAGGAAGGAAAAGAAAGTGAGTAAAATACAAAGTGGAAGGATGGGGAGATAAAAGACGGAAGAGATGAAGGAAAAAGCAGGAAGGAAGGTGAGAAATGAAAAAGGAGAAAAGGATTCACGGAAGGAAGGAAGGAAAAGAAGTGAGTAAAATACAAAGTGGGAGGATGGGTGGGAGATAAAAAGACGGAAGAGATGAAGGAAAAAGCAGGAAGGAAGGTGGGAGAAATGGAAAAGGAGAAAAGGATTCACGGAAGGAAGGAAAGAAGGAAGGAAGGAAAAGAAGGAGTAAAATACAAAGTGGGAGTATGGGTGGGAGATAAAAGACGGAAGGGATGAAGGAAAAAGGGAAGGAAGGTGGGAGAAATGGAAAAGGAGAAAAAGGATTCACGGGAAGGAAGGAAGGAAAAGAAGGAGTAAAATACAAAGTAGGAGGATGGGTGGGAGATAAAAGACGGAAGAGATGAAGGAAAAGCAGGAAGGAAGGTGGGAGAAATGGAAAAGGAGAAAAGGATTCACGGAAGGAAGGAAAGAAGGAAGGAAGGAAAAAAGTGGAGTAAAATACAAAGTGGGAGGATAGGTGGGAGATAAAAGACGGAAGGATGAAGGAAAAAGCAGGAAGGAAGGTGGGAGAAATGGAAAAGGAGAAAAGGATTCACGGGAAGGAAGGAAAGAAGGAAGGAAGGAAAAGAAGTGAGTAAAATACAAAGTGGGAGGATGGGTGGGAGATAAAAGACGGAAGGGATGAAGGAAAAAGCAGGAAGGAAGGTGGGAGAAATGGAAAAGGAGAAAAGGATTCACGGGAAGGAAGGAAGGAAAAGAAGTGAGTAAAATACAAAGTGGAAGGATGGGTGAGAGATAAAAGACGGAAGAGATGAAGGAAAAAGCAGGAAGGAAGGTGGGAGAAATGGAAAAGGAGAAATGATTCACGGGAAGGAAGGAAGGAAGGAAGGAAGGAAGGAAGGAAGGAACGAACGAACGAACGAACGAACGGACGAACGAACCATAGATCAGCTTGAAAGGGAGGAAATGGAAAGAGGGAGAAATGGAGGAAAAAAATAATGTGAAGAATGGGAAAAAAAGGAGAGAACATATAACGGAAAGGAAGGGGGGAAGGGAAAGAAATTTGGCAAACACTATCTAGTTTTAATTTGAGGATATAATGTCAACAACCGAAATGACTTCCAAATGCCTTTCGCGCTTTTTTCTTTTTCGGCCATACTGAGGTAGCGAACTTGTGGATGGCGAACTTGGTGTTATAGAACGTGCGTATTGCGAACAGCTTCCATCTAGAAACAAGAAATCAGACGTCACTAGATGTATTGCAGTGTTACCTTTTCTTTTCTTTTTTTTTTTTTTTTTTTTTTTGGTTTACATTATTAATAATAATAACGTATCATAAAAAAAAGATTTTCATTTAAACAAGAAATTAGACGACAGGTTATATAAAGCATTTCTCTTTAAAGAATATCAACTAGGCACCTCCAAAGAAACGCAATGCAAAATATATTTTTTTTAAATTAAAAAATCTTTCTCGAAGCATTTATTTTAGTTTTAATTTCAAACTAATGGATTAAATTTAATATTTCCAATAAGCAAACTACTTTTCTGTATATCTGATATGTCCCGAAAAGGGATATATTTGTTCGAAGTAGCAAAGTGGTTTTATACTACTGTAACCGGGTAGGACAATCTAGCAGGTAACCGTAATGTACTGGTCCTCATCGTAATGGTAGGCAATAGGCCTAAGCAATAGGCGTAGTCAATACGTGTAGCCAATAGGCGTAGTGCCTATACCTCCATATCAGTCTGTATTTATGGCTGACACCAGCCAATCATATTACTGTGAGGGGGAACCCAGGTGTATGTATATTCATTACATCAATATCAAAACTAGTTTAAACTGATGGAAGGGGTCCTTTTTTTGAATAACGCTAAAAATCTCTGATTTTTAGCTATCTGTCAGCACAATGTAATTCTATTTTTAAAAAATCTTTCAAAAATAAAATATACTTTTCTGAAACTTTATTTGAGGAATATTAGCTGATTTAAAGTTTATTTAATTTGAGTTGAAACAAATATTACTTACTTTTAATTTATAATATCGTAGAAATGAATTTTTAACAAAGGTGAAGGTGCTTATTTAAGGTGTTGAAAGACTTATTGACAGCCTGACAGCTTTATTGACAACCGGAAATTTAACTAAATTTTTCTATGGGAGACGTATCTGTAAAATTACATGACGAATATAACGTGAGCGTCTTTTTTATAGAATTTTAACAGCCCAGCAATCTTTAAAAATTAGAAAAATATTGTCCGTAATCTAATGTTTTATTTAATTTTAGGTATTTTGGCTTTAAATTCATTAGAATTATCGTTCTTATTTTCTGATAATGTCGTGGATGGATGTCCGTATTTACAAAAATCGGCACGTTTATACGCACGAACACACACACACACACACACACACACACACACACACACACACACACACACACACACACACACACAAAATAAAAAAATTCCTTTTAAAATACAGGGGACGCTAAATTGTAGTAAAATTTTCCATTTATAATTAGTAAATACAGATTTTACTTAATAACAATATCACCTAACCGCTACAAAGTAATAAAGAATTTTAAAAGATTTAAAACTTTATAAATTATTCTAATTAAAATTTTTAAAAAAGAAAACAATTATTGTAAAAATTCATTATTCATCGAAAATCTTTTTTTCTTAAGACAATAATGTCCATAATATATCTTATTCATAAAAAGCACTTAAAAGTTTTCTAACGAAATAATGTCTTGGTTTTATTGCATTTTTTTAATTTACGAATCAGAGCAGATTTTCGATAACAAGGAATTTTACAAAAATAAACGGATCATTTAAATTCTCCAAGTAGTTTTGCTTATAACTAATATAAACATTAACCCTCGAATACTAACCATCAATTAAAGTTACACCACTACTAACCATGGGTAGATCATACCCGATTTTGAAAATAACAAATAAAATATTAAATATAAATCTTTATTTGAAATATTTGACATGTAAGAACTTTGAGTTAACATTAATAGGAACTGAAAAACATTATTTAGGTAAGAAAATTAGGTACTGAATATTGTAATTAAAAATAAGAAAATTTGCGTTGGGTACTATATACCCATGGTTAGTGTTCTAGGGTTAAGATGTACAAAAATGAATTTCTAGAAATTTCATAAAATTGAATAAGTGGGGAGTAACAGATGCAAAAAAACATATTTTAACAGTGCTTTCTTAAAAAAAAAACATATTTAAAATAATTTTTATTAATTTGTGAATAAGCCCGGAAAGTTTCTAAATCTGCCATTTATTTGATTTTTACTAGAATTTCCAAATCATTGTTTTTCACCGCAAAAAAAAAAAAAAAAAAAAAAAAAAATTTCCTATACCAATTTATGATCCCCCGCTGATGCAAGAAAAACAAAAATTTAACCAAAATTCCGAAGTTTCTAAAAAGGATCAAAAATATAATTTAATAATCAAAAAAGTCGTTTGGTCTTTCCTCATAATATAAAGATTTTGACGATACAATTTTGTTTTTATAAAGTTTGGGGTATTTTTTTATCATGGTATGCATAGTATTTAGCGAATCTTTGGAGATACCTAATATAAACTAATAATAAAAAATATATATAAGATAATACACGTAGTTACAGATTATTGTTTATAATCAATAAAACAGTTGACATTTTGCGTAATACAAATCCTGATAAAAACAAAGCCTATGTTATGTCAGAATTTCTGAGACGGGATATTGTTACCATTATACATTGATTCCTTCTGACCAGTGTCTTCGCATTAATTGCCATTATCTAAACTGTTTCGATTACTGAAATGTCTGGCCTATTTTTTTTTTTTTTTTTAGATCTTTCATGGTGGTTTCTTCATCTTTGTTGCTTATTTCACAATTTTGAAAGCCGGAAGCTACAATGGCCGAGTTGTTGGGATAAAACCAGTTCTTGATTTTTATGTTAAGGAGAAAAACAACTATGTATATTTCTGAAATGAGGTATTGTAACTATTTACACTATTTACATTGCTCGGACTGTTGTCCTCATCTTTACTGTCACATTCACGACGTTTCGGCCGTTGTACGCTCTGGCCTTCTTCAGGTGATAATTGTTGGAATTTCGAACCGAACGGAGGTAGATTATTCTACGGGGGTAGAGTGTACTAATTTCACCTTCCATGCCTTTGGATATCTTAGTTAATTCGCCTTAATATCTCTCCAAGTTTCTGTTCTCATCGCTGAGGCCAGTGATTGTACTCATAACTCTTTGGGTCAGTTCAATTTTTGGATCAATTTACCAACGCTTTTACCCAATGGGCCATGTGAACCTTTGGAACTTATAAATCTAATGTCTCAGAAACGTTTTCTTTTTCCAGAGCTCATATTACAATTTTTTTTAATAAAGGGTTCACTTCGAAATTCCAACAAATATCACCTGAAGAATGCCGGAGCGTACAATAGTCGAAACGTCGTGAATATGACAATAAAGATGAGGACAAAAGTTCGAACAATATAAATAGTGTAAATGGGAGAAAAACACTTTGTAATATTTGATAACTTTCTTGGTTATTGTATTTCTTGCCAAACGATTGCGTAAGGAAAGAAGGTGATTTATACCCGTGGACTTAGCAAGGTGGGACTTTGCTGTAAAAGTCTGAGATGGTAGCACTAAAGAATGGAGCGGGTCAGAACATTTGCTATGGAAGTTACGATAGGGTCGCGACAAGCTTGCGATATTGCGTCTGTGAGGAAAGGGACTCACAAGTGGAAAAAGTCATTCCCCACAAACGCATATAAACAATTGTGAGTGCTACCAATCCTGGAAAGTGAGAATTAAGCAGTTCTAGACCAGATATTATGAGGAGACACGGTGGAGTAATTGATAGCGGCTCGGGTTGAGGAATCAGAGAGCCGAGTTAGAATTCCAGTCGGATCAATTACATTCACTTAAGTATGAATCCTTTTATTTCCCCCCCCCAAGCTATAGGAAAATAGCAGGACAGACCGGGTTCTATAGCCTTGGATGGCAAGTGGTCTACCGCAGAAAGAAATAGCAACCTACCGCGGGAAAAAAATCTGCCTCGTCTGTCATGTATCGAAAAATACATGATCGCCTAATTGCGTATCACGCATGGCACATAACTGACTGAGACCAGATATGGCAGCACTGACCATTTTTTGGTCTAATTCGACTATTGCAAAGGGTTTTGGTTCTGATCTAAATTTTTTTTTAATGGTATAGCATGACAGTGAGGATTTGGCAGCTCCAGCCATGGTAGCAATACCCAGATTTTAGCTCTGATCTGACTTTTTTTTTAATGATAGATCATGGTAGGAGGAGTCTGGTACTGGAAAGTGACAATTTGGCAGCTCCAGCCCAGACATGGTAGCAACACTCCGTTTTTAGTCTGACCTGACCTTTTTAATGATAGATCATGGTAGGAGGAGTCTGGTACTTACTGGGCCTGTACAAAGAACAGACCATTATTTTCCAGTCTCTTTAGAAATGGATTGTATATATTTCTACTTGACGTCTTAAACGATCTTGTGTCCCAGTAGATGTTTCAAGCAAAGGCTTCAACCGTTCATCATAAATGGAGAAAATTCAAAGTCTGCTCAAAATAAAAATATAAAAAGATAAACTGCTATAGAATTTCTGTTTTTAGAAGAAAATGCTGCAAATATTCACAGGAGGCTAGTAAATGAATACGGAAATTAAGTGTAATATTATTGTTCTGCCGATAAATGAGAAAACAAAATTGAATTTATCATGACACAGCATTATATTTTATTTAACTCCGGACTTTGTCAATTACTGTCGGTCATTGTATGAAAACAGTCCCTGTCCCCTCATTTGAAACGTAGACTTCATGTTCGCGATGTCTGAGAAAGATACTACCTTTACTATTGGGGTGGGTATTTATATGTCTATCTGGGACATATAGCTGATTTTTACGCTTGCAAACCTGGTGCGATTGGGCTATCTCGTGTTTGCCTGTCGTGATCGCCACTGATAAACGGGTGAGTCGCCGATCTCCATTTCCGGCGAGGAGGTCAATTCTGCACCTGGCTTCTCTGAAGTGCTAAGTCTATTCTGGTATCATCTGAGCTGAGACCAGCACAAAATGCATGGACATCTCCCCCACCCCTTCCGCCATCGTCTAGAATGTTTTCCCTCAGTTCGTCCTTGCATATGGCTTCTCTGAAGGAGACTGATTACAAAGTCTAGTCTGACTACATCTGAGGTGAGACTAGTACATCTTGACGTCTCACCCTCTCTCTACACTCGGTTGCAAGGCCATTCCTCATGTCAACACAGCAGCTCGCTTTTCTGGAGGATACAAAGTCTAGTCTGACTCCATCTAAAATGAAACATACTACATAAGCACAGTAGGAGACAGGACACGAGAGTTATTGGCAAGCCTAGATAAAACGTGAAAATGACGTTAATGACAGGATCTACAGTGGCAGGTCGTCCGCTGCTTTGAATGAAGTTAAGGCCAAACATGCCGATGAGCACTTATCGCTGATAGAAGAATGCATATCTCTATGAAAAGCCTCAGGTGAGCCATGATAGTGTCTCCTCCAGTTTGGACAGACTCTTGGCTAATCTAATCCGTGCAAGTGTTTTCTCAGAAGGCTGACTGACTGCTTGACGGACTTTCATCTGTTTAGGGCCATGGAATAGGTACAGCTATTCTCTACTGGTGATGAAGTAAAGGAGGTAACACGCAAATGACCAGAAAACTTGAATACCACAATTGAGAGGAAATACTATGTTGGATGTTTGTTGGTTGATAGATTTTGTTTAGCGGCATATCAACACCTCTATGGGTTATTTACTGCCGAAATCTAAATATTTTGTACATAATTTTATATACATATGTTTTATATTGCATTCATAGTAATTTTCTATAAAAATGTATTTTTGCTTATTTTATCATAAAAGCTGATTTTTATCTGGAGGTTCACTATTTGCCCATAGCTGTGATCCTAACAGGTACTACCACCCTAGGTCAAGGTGGACCTTGGAACAACAGCAGTTATGGAGGCCTTTCTGCCGAAAATATGGTGATGGGAATATTTGTAATCCTAAGGATTTTGTATTCATATTGGATGCATGTTAAAATCCTCATAGTATTGTTGAAGTTATCGCTAACATTTTTGTCTAGATTTATGAACTCAACGTCTCGTTCAATTTCGCAAACCAATCGATGAAATTTGAATAAGCTGGTTTATTTGGAAAAATACTTTGACTTCGTGGTTTAATAATTTCTTTAATTTAATTTAATTTTATACCATCATGGTAAACAATATTTTTTAAGAAAATTTATTTGTTTTTCCTTTTTCCTTTTTAACAGTGAAGAATAAATTCTTAGGATTTCTTACTCTTGAGCATACAACATACAACTGGCCATACGTAAATACTTATTTCTGGATCCAAATTCTAACTTTTTGAAGCGTTTGGCATTGTGATTTGTTTATAGTTTTCGCAAACGCTGGGCGAACTGGAAACAAGATTCTTGTATAGAAAAACTTAAAGACAAGGTATGCAAAAAATAATATTGCATTTTTTATTAAATAAGTATTTATTCTTTTAATCATTAAATTGTTTTTGAAATAGTTGGTGGTGTTTTGTATTTTAAATAATAATTTAATGAAAATTTATTGTACTAAGGAACGTACCCTAATACCCTTACCTGTTTTCACTTCTCCCCAAAATTTGCTTTCGATGGGTAAATGTATGGCTATTTTAGAGGGTGTGACAGACGGACTAACGGAAGTCACAGAATTTTATATATAGATTCAAACTGTTGTAATTAAGAACAGCATTACTTTTTGACCAACACTCATACCATGATTGAGAAGGAAAGAGAACTGGATTTGTAATTCTGAGAATTGTGTTTATATTACTTTATTAATTATAACTAGCTCAGATTACTTCTTGTGTTAATTTTTAAATTTCCAAATTGAAACCTCCTCGTAAAATTGAAAAAATAATTTTTAGAACTATTATTTTTAATTTTAGTCTTTAGTTTTAAATAAACAATCAAATAAACAAATAGTGTTTGAATTTTTGTGGTCAATTCATGAGAAAAAATATGTTAAATCCAGCTTTGTAGGTTATGGTCTTACTAATTTCTAAAGATAGCTCTTTTAAAACAATAAAAATTACCGAGAGAGTGCACAATAATAGCGGTGTCAAGAGAGAGGAAAAAAAGTCCTTTTAAAACATGATTTTTTTTGCCTGGTCGTATGTTAAACTTTACCATAATGACAACGAATCGTCTCGGAATTTCTGACAATAACGACACTGAAAAAAAAATCTCTATATTAAATAATTATACATATTTTGGTTCAAACTCTTTATTTTTTTTATACTTTAACCTCAAGGATTACGAGAACATCATTCTATCAAATAAAAAGGAGTTCATACATTTTTTAACATATAAAGCCAATATACTGACAATAAGATAGACACAAGCTCACGTACACACTCGCACAGCATGCCAATATATATAGAGAAGCAAGGACAATGAAAAACAATAAATGTATACATAGATCAAAGATTGCTTTATCCAAAGTATTATACGACGTCTAAGGCGCATCTTTTCATGAGTAAAATATGGCCGATTGTCGATAGTCATTTCCAACAGTGAATGGAGTAAAGAGTGAGTTTTATGTCAATTCGTCTTACAAGTCGTAAAATACAGGATACAGTGAGAAAACTAAAAAAGAGGAAAAAAGTGAAAAATTATTTTGTACCGTGCATTATAGGGATGGGCAACAGATGTATAATGCATCTTAGATGCAACAGATGTATAATACATTATATCAAGCGTGCAACCATGGACTTTTTGAAACCAAGTGAATTGGTACAGCCAATCAGGCCATTCAAGAATCAGATATGAGCATAATAAATAGATAGATATGAACAAACTGAGATAGATATGAACAGACTGATACAGATAGATAGATAGATAGATAGATAGATAGATAGATAGATAGATAGATATGAACAGACTGGGATAGATAGATAGATAGATAGATAGAGATAGATAGATGAATAGATAGATATGAACCGATAGATAGATAGATAGATAGATAGATAGATATGAACAGACTGGGATAGATAGATAGATAGATAGATAGATAGATAGATAGATATGAACAGACTGGGATCGATAGATAGATATGAACAGACATGGATATAGATACATAGATAGATATGAACAGACTGGGATAGACAGATAGATAGATAGATATGAACTGACTAAGATAGATAGATAGATATGAAAAGACTAAGTAGGCTGATATATATATATATATATATATATATATATATATATATATATATATATATAATATTATTTATTTAAAAATATGATTCCAACGCTACATAAGAGTACTCATGTTTCAAAACAAGAGCTGAAAACTTCAATATAATTATTTGAATTAAATTGAATTAAAGTACCAAGCTCTGTTCCATCTTCAAGCGAAATTTTTTTTTGAATAATTATTTACTTGTATGTTTGTACAAAATGTGGCACAAGGCCAAAAAAGGGGTGGGGAAAGGACGGTCTTCTTCTGTCTTAATTTTAAACTTAGCTAGTCACAGACACGGACCCAAACATACCAACAATAGTCCTATCACCAAAACAACACATTCACTCCTACCTTTCTTACTACGTACACCATAATACCTCAAAATTTTTTTTTGAATAACTAATTCCTGAAATTTACGCGTTTTATAAGCATATTCATTATTGAAATTAAAATTACCATGGTAACGGCTAGAGCAATTGCTTAAAGAAAAGGGGCGTAAGGTGTTAATAATTTGTATCAATATCTCAGTTACATTCAAAGACGTCAAGTGTAAGGTTGGGGTGTCTAAATTTAAAGCGGAAGATGACATCGTCTAGTCTGGTTAAGTGTCTATGGAGATTTATTTATTTTTTTATTTTATTTTTTATTTTTTTCTGAAAGGGTTTTGTGTATATAAAAAAACTGTCATAAGTCGCTAATATTTGTTTCTTTTTTTTTTGACGACTTCATAAAGGGTTATCTTTTTTTTGTAGGGCATTTAAACTATTTATTTAGACTATGGAATTTAAAAATTATTTTATTGTTTGTTTGTTTTTATGCTAATTATTCAATGCGAAATTTGATATATGATTTGTTTTTCTAACTCCCATAAAATCCCTAGCATTACATGGACAAAGTTTTTCTTAGTGTGTAGGCTGTACTTATCAAGACAATTTTTATATTTCTTTTAAACTGCGATTCCCAGTGCTATTTTCAATATGTTGTTGTGTTCCTTTTTTTATAATTCCAAGCGCACCTACTATGACTGGAACTATTCTTGTTTTCAATTTCCATATTTTTCTATTTCGATTTCCAGGTCTTTATACTTCGATAGTTCTTCAAATTACTTGGTTGCTTTGTTACATTTCGCTGGGCAAGCCATATCAATCAGTGGGCAAATTTTTTCTTTTCGGTTTTTGACAATTATATCCGGCCTTTTTGCTTTAATCTTCCTGTCTGTAAAGATGGTTTGATCTCAGAGAATTGCGATGTGTTCTAATTCTCATGTTCATACCAATGTTTGATAACACCTTTTCTAAAGGGTTTGCACATTGTCCAGTGTAAATATTGCCCCACTCTATTGTGACGATTTTTATATTCATTTGGCACAAGTAGAGAACATCCTGAGATTAGATTTTCTCTGGGTTCCTGATATTTGTCACAGAACCTGCATTTTGGATCCACACGATTATGTATGATATTTACCTGAAAGTTCTCAGTAAAAAGACCCTGGTCTTGCACTGCAAGAATAAATCCTTCGGTCTCAGCCTTTAATCCAGATGTTTGTAACAATCGATGAATGTTAACTTTATCAATATCGGCTTTATTAGCACGTTGTGATTATTGGCCATGCAGATGCCTATCTTGCCAGCGTTATTTCATCTGTTCAAGAGCTTTATCCTTGGCTTTCTTTTTCATATTTTTGCTGCAACAGTTGGTTCTTGCGTTCTGTTTTGGTTTTCTATAGAATCTGTTAAATGTAAATTCACAACCTTCTTTCATTATTATTATTATTATTATTATTTTCTTTGATTTCTGGCGTTTACACATTTCTTTCCGGGTCCCGCCCAGGGACCTAAGGTTTGAAATGGCGTCATGACACTTTCCACTGACAAAAAAAAAAAAAAAAAAAAAAAGAATTAAATTACATAGATAAAGCCCTTCGTAAGGTGTGGGCTGTACTTGTCAGAACAATTTTTTGTATCTCCTTGAGGCATGGACTTCCAGGAATCCCTTCAATTAGTCTACTGCAATCTTTTCCAACCAGTCCTAGGGCTCCAACTACAACAGGGATTGTTGATGTTCCCATATGCCACATTTTCGAGATTTCTATTTCAAGGTCCTTGTACTTTGACAACTTTTTGAATATCTTCAAAGATACATTGCAGTCAGCAGGGACTGCCATATCAATAAGGAGGCATCGTTTTTGTTTGTGGTCTTTAATAACAATATCTGGCCGGTTGGCCTTGATTATTATTACTATTATTATAATTTTTATTATCATTTTTATTATTATAATTATTAAATATTACGGAATTTCCTCTGCCTCTAAGTGTTCATCACTTTCTTACCATTCTTAAGACGCTTCCTTTCTGAGACAATTCAATTAGCCAATCAATGCCAATTTTCTTTATCCACGTTTCCATACTATCATTTAACGTATCAAGTGCACCAATGACAAATCTTTGCGAGTTCGAATTTTAATTAGATATAGTTGATTATTTTCCCTTCTTTCCTTTGCACTATCCTTGTATCAAAAGAACCCGATGGACCAGTGACTAACTCTTCTTTGGTGGGGTAATGGATAGCTGCTTGGAGTGAGGAATCTGAGAGTCGAGTTCGAATTCCAGTCGAATCCATTATATTCATTTACGTTCTAATACCATTGGGAAAGGTATAGATCCTCTTCTTCTCCCACAAGCTATGGGTAAATAGCAGGACAGACCGGGTTCTATAGCCTTGGATGGCAACTGATCTACCGCAGAAAAAAATGGCAACCTAATGCGGGAAAAAATCTGCCTCATCAGACATGTATCAAAAGATACATGATCGCCTAAGCGTGTATCACGCATGGCACATAACTGAGTTATTATAATTATTATTATTATTGTTGAGATGTTGAGTGTATCCCCGTGCGTGTATTGAAATAAGGACAAACACATACGTAGGGAAAAATACTGGTATATCTGAAGAGGTATTTACAACAGAGAGATTAGTAGTCAAACGAACGCAGGTTAGTCAGTAACAATCAGAAAGAGTATAAAGTCCAACTGTATCTTCCGGTAGAGAGACGGAAGTGTGATGGTCACCTAATCTCCCCAGAACTCTATAGAACTATCCTATTAGTAGTAGAGAGATCAGTCCATTCTGATGAGAAGGTGGGTGGCCCCAACAATTATTATTATTATTTCCTTTGATTTCTGTTGTATTCCCATTTTATTTCGGTCCTCAACCAGATACCTACGGTCAGACATGGCTTCATGACATTTTCCGCTGAATTTGTTATGTTGGTGCGACTACACATGCGCACGAACGAGGGATGCTGGGAAATCGGCTAAATAAAAAAAATAAACTGAAAAATGATTTTAAAAAATTAAAATTTAAAACTTCCTCCTTCGTACACATGTGTAGTCGCACCAACATAACAAATTTAGATGAAGTTCCTAAGGGACGAAACGTGTCACAAGAAAACTTTTTCCACCTTATATATATATATATATATATATATATAAAGTGATCACTGATGCGAACAACAAGCGTCGACTGTGTTTCATGCTCTGACGCAATCTTCAGGCCATGTGTATTGTGTTTTGACTCGACTATTTATATATGATGGTCAATGGTGCATTACGAGTTGTAAGATCAGTTGTATTATCCTAACGGTTATTATTGGGTCGCTGGTATATATATATATATATATATATATATATATATATATATATATATGAAGGGGAGGTCAATAAGGATGTAACTTCACTCATTTATTTTTATCTGAAAGTTTCATTGAATGTTGTTCGATCGTTGTGATCTGAGAAGCAACGGATTGAGTGCATTGACAATGAAATAGATTATATTAATTGATATTTGTCGTACCAATGGTGTTTTTCATCGTTAGGCTACGGACTTATTGATGTAAGAAACGATTTGAGAAGCGATGGATTGAGTACGTTAACAAAGAAATAGTTTATGTTATTTGATATTTGTCGTGCCAAATAAATGTTGTTTTCCATCATTAGGCTACGGACTTATTGATGTACGTACGATTGGATTGAGTGTATTGACATATGAACATATATTTACACCATAAAAGTTGTCGTTTCAACGAGAGTAGAAAGCCTATATGCATATGTATCGTGGTCTGTTCATATGAATGCCCAAACCTGCATCTAGTGCTTTGTAAATAGATCACCGAGAAGTATTTGATGTTATTTTTTATACTATTGCTCACTTAATACAAAGTCTAAGAGCCACTCAAGGTAGAGAGTGACTGAATGAGGTCGTTGTAAAGGGAGGAAGTAAGATGTGCATATGTAGAATTTGAAACGGATGACCCTAGACATGAAAACGTTTATATCGTACTGGTCGGATAAGTATTCCCTTGGAAGTCTCTTCCACAAAGTAACTGGAGAAGAAGCTATTTAAGTTGGTACTTCCTCCTTACCAATGGAATACGGAGGGAATGGGGATGACACTGTGTATGTAGCTTGGCCGACTAGCGAAAGTAAAGATCTGAACTCGTGGAATTAAGGAATATAGCTCATCTGAACGTTTGCTATAAAAATAGCGATAGAGTAGCCAGGGAGTAGCAGCTTTTCGTCTGTGGGAAAGGTGTTGTAGGGTGGAAAATAATCGCCCACAAGGCCGCGTAGAGGTTTTTGTACTCTTGAAAGGATGTAAGGTGAGGATTATGCAGCTCCAGTCCAAATATGGCAGCAATGCTCTATTTTCGGCTCTTGTAAAGATAATGACAAGGGTAGGCAGGTAAATTCGGGTGCGGTACGAGGAACCGAATATTTTTCTAGCGACTTTACTGATGGTTCGTATTTATGAGTTCCTCTTGAGGTCTGGGGTTAACTGGTCCTCACAGACGTCCAAAACAAGGAACCTGTAGCAACCGGTTTCATTTGGCTCTTCAAATTTAAAACTTTCTTTTGTCGTTTCTAATGACCATCAATTCATTTTTTGTGACCATTCACATATTTCAAATCTGTTTTCCTTCATTTTCCCTGAGTAAATAGTTACTCATCCATCTATCTATATATAACATTTTGTGATTTCCATAACTTCGTCCGTTCGTCCGTCACGCCCTCTAAAATAGCCATACATTGGCCGATCGAAACCAAATTTTGGGGAGAAGGGCTAACAGGTAAGGGGGTACAAAGTACAGTTACTTCTACAAGGGTGCGTTGCTTAGAACAATAAATGTTTATTAAGTATTTGGGAAAAATTAAGTTTTATTATTTAACATACAAAATACTCCCACTATTTAACAAAAATAATGATTAAAATAAATACTTATTTAAAAAAATGCAGTATTATTTTTGCATATCTTTTCATTAAGTTTTATATACAAGAATCCAGTTTCTAGTTCGACCTGCGTTTGCGAAAACTATAAACAAATCACAAAGACAAACTCTTCAAAAGTTGGAATTTGGATCCAGAAATAAATATTTACGCTTGGCCAGTTGTATGCTGCATGTTCAAGAGTAAGAAATCCTAAGAATTTATTCTTCGCTGTTAAAAAGGAAAAAAAAAAAAAAAATTTCTTAAAAAATATTGTTTATCAGGAATTCCTATAAAATTAAATTAAATTAAAGAAATTATTAAACCGTAGGGTTTTTGTCAAACAAATCAGTTCATTTAAATTTCATCGATTTGTTTGCGAAATTAAACGAAATGTAGAGTTTGTAAATCTCGACAAAAATGTTAGCGATAAAACTTCAACAAGACTAAATACTGTGAGGATTTTAACACGCGTCAGCGGGTTGCAAAAAAAACTTCTAATAAAGAGTATTTCTGATAAAGCTTTTTGAAATGTTGAATTTGAAGATACCCGGCAGATTCTTTGCTAGAGTTTGTCTTGTCTCTCAATGATAAACTGGCCATTAGATGCTGATAGCTTTTAACGCCTTCAACTTGTTTTTCTTTTCACTAGTTTTTCTCAGTCTTTTTTTTTTTTTTGCATTAATCCAAGTTTCCTTTCCCCAAGGTTCTATCGTTGTACCTTCATTGTTCCTAATTTTAATCAATGACATTTCTGACATCATAAGTTCTCAACTCAGTATCTATGCTGATGTCACAACTATTTAATTCTGTCTTAATTCTAAGTCTGAATTGTTCGATAAGGTCAAATTGGCAGCTCATCTAAAAAATGACATACAATTCGTGGTCAACTGGGGCAAGAGGTGGCTTGTTACCTTTAACGTCCCAAAACTTTAACTGCTCTCTTTTAATCGTCTGAGAGAACCTTTTTTACCTTCCATCAGTATAGCTGATGCTAAACTACAGCAGAGTGACTCATTGAACCTTCTTAGACAAACGTTTTCAGTTGACCTGAAGTGGCAAGATGAATCAATTGCTAAGTCTGTAACTAGAAATGTAGCTTCACTGTATCGGGCTAGACAATTTTTCTCACCAGAAAGTACTGTATTTGCCTTTATCATTGGTCCTGACCTAGTATTTAGCCTTCAGTTACTTTCACGAACTAACACTTTCAGCTGACCTGAAGTGGAAAGATGATATTGAATCAAATGCTAAGTCTGCAGCTTGGAAAGTTGGTTCACCGTGTCAAGCTAGATAATTTTTCTTGAACGAATCTATCTTACATATTTATAAGTCTACCATTCGTTCATGCATTGATTGTTGTTGCCACATCTGGTCTGGTGCTCTTGCTATATATTTAGAGATTCTTGATAAAATGCAAAGAAGAATCTGCTCCTGACCTGGCATCTCAGCTTCAGTTCCTTTCCCGTTGCCGTAAGGCAGCTTCCCTGTGTCTTTTCAGTAAATACTTTAAAGGTAATTGTTTTAATGAACTTTCCTCTAGACTTTATGAATTTAAGCTCAGTACGAAATTTACTTCTGTCTTAATTCTAAGTCTGATCGGTTCGATAATGTCAAATTGGGCAGCTGATTTCAAAATTTTGTTAATCAGATCAAGAAATGGCGTATTAATTTTAACACTTCCAGAACGAAACTGCTCTTTTAATCGACTGTGAGAAGCGTTTTTACGTTCCGATCATCATGGCTGATGCTAACCTCCAGAAGAGTGACTCATTGTGCCTTATCGGGCTAACGTTTTCCACTGGCATGAGGTGGAATCAATTTCTAGGTCTACTGCTAAGAAAGTTGGTTCACTGCGTCATGCTAGACAATTTTTCTGGCCAGAATCTATCTTAAACATTTATAAGTCTACCATTGAATATTGCTGTCATATCAAGTTTCATGCTTCTGCTATATATTTAGAGATTCTTGATAAAATATAAAGAAAAATGTGCAATGTTATTGGTTCTGATCCGGCATCTCGGCTTCAGTCACTTTCCCACCACCGGAACGTAACTTCCCTGTTCTTTTTCTACAAATATTTTCATGGTAATTGTTCTGATGAACTTTCCTCTATAGTATCTAGACTTTATGAAATAAATAATAAGCAAAAGCAGTACTAGATTGGCGGCAAGGTCTCATCATTTTAGTTGAAATGGATAGATGGAACCGTAAGTTCTATGCTAACAGTTTCTTCTCTCGCATTTCTCGCTTGTAAAACTCTCTTCTGGCTTCTTGCTTCCCGGTCAACTTTGATCTTCAAAAATTGAAATGCAATAATCAATCGTTATCTTCTTTTCAATTCCTGTTCTGTTCTTTTATTGTTCTCTCTCCTTAATAATGTTCTGTTTTTTTCATATTCTCTAACACTCAGTAACTCCTTGCGTCTTAGTGACTTTATTGCTTTGATTGGGTCGAAATGATTAAAAAAAACTTCGCTAATCGCATTTTTTCAGCTGTACTTTTTGGCCTCCTGTTAATTAAAAAAAAAACGAATCCTTTCTGTAGAATTCTGATGTTAAGCTCATGGATAAAACTAAATATTTCTTCAGTGGTCCGTTCTTGCTCTATTATAATTGTAATTAATTTGTAGAACAAGATTCCTTTTGAGGTTATATCTTGGATTTTCTTGTATCACATCTTTTACTCCGTCTGTTATTAATGACGTAGTTATATAAAACATAGTCATAAAAGAATTAAACACATAGAATTCTCAATTTTTTTAATTATCTTTAATTAGAACGAAAATACCAAAACCAACAATTTTATCATAGAGCCAAAAAAACAATAAATTGACTAAAATTCTCTTACGCTATCCTTTTTTTTTTTATAAATAATATTTTACTTGTCGAAGCTGTGTATTGTCAAGCTTCCACAAAGCGAATTCACAACGGGCGTAAGTTTTGTAACCTAGGGAAGGTTACTGAATAGAATAATCAAACGAAGGTTGGTAATGAACGATAATACTTAGGACAAGAACAACACATATAAGATTCGCCAGCGGCGCATAGAAAAAGTAATGAATCTTCAACTGCAGGATATATACCAAGCGCCCCACGTGGTCAGATGTGGCACAAGGCTGAATTTAATGTGGGGTATCTGAATCCGTAGGCTCAGCCAAAAATTTCCCTTAGACACTGTGTAAAATGGGGTCAGGTAGCTGTTTCCCGAGACGAGACTCTGCCCCTCGACATAGGCTCATTTGGTGATACTCTCTGCTTTCGCACGGCTGAAAACGAATCTCAAACTGCAGGATATCTACCAACCGTCCTACGCGGTCAGATGTGGCACAAAGCCGAATTTAATGTGGAGTATCCGAGCTCGTAGACTCGGCCAAAAATTCCCCGTACACCCCGTATAAAACGGGGTCGGGTAGCTGTTTCCTGAGACGAGAATCTGCCCTTCAACATAGCCTCGCCTAGGGATCTTCTCTGCCCGGAGGCAGAGAGTTTGACCAGTACAGCTGGAGACGAATCCCCAGCGGTCGACCACCATACAGTATTAACTACTGTATTTATGGGAATGGGGGTATACCCATTATCGTCCATAGGTATGCTACAACAGTAAGTGAGTGACATGCTGGCGAAGTAACAGGGGATCTTTTTCCAGGTATAAGAAACTTGCAGCAGGTACTCACGGGATGCTATTCGACCAATGAATGTAGTTGGTGCCAACGTCGCGTTCTGGTGAATTGAAGGAAAATCTTCTTTCTTTTTTCTAATTGGGCGTCGTGGTAGTCGGATATTCCAT